ACTCAAAATGGAAACACATTTTTTGTGTTTTCATTTTTTGGCCAAATTTATAAACTGAGACCACTGATTTATAAATCAAAAATTTTACCAAACAAGTTTTTTTTGAGTTTTTAAAATTTTTGTAAATATAAACAGAAAACTGAAAACGTAAGTGGTACCAAACGACACCTTCTCGTTTCAATAATCAAACCGTATAATATATATAACTCGTCGAGTACTATACGTCTATAAAAAATCACGTTGATCAGATATCGATAACTACATGATCAGATTAGATTTCTTTCAATCGTTTATTTTTTCACCGTCATTTCTTTTATACAAAACTGATTTGATCACATAATTATAAATATCCGATCAACGTGATTATTTATAAGCATATAGTACTCAACAAGTTTTATACGTTGAACAATTTAGATTATCGAAACGGAACCGATGGTAGGTCTTTACAAGACGAACAATACCCTTCAATCCGATCATGGATTGGAGAGAAGCCCTATCCTAATATTAATTGATCAATGATTGAGACTCCACCTCCACAAGACTCCACAAACATACATGAATATACCCTACACATACATAGAAGGTCAGAATCACTTTAAGAGTGTAAGGTCAACCCAAATGATCCCAAACATTATTGATATTAATTACACCAACATCCATTCTCTCATTTATGAATGAGTGTATCTAGCTCCTCTGCTGCTGTTGTGCAGGACGGAGGTTCCGTGCTGCCATTAAATTTGCACTATCATCCTTAAATTTTCGGATAAATTACACTGACACCTCTTTTATTTCTTAAAATTACACTGACACCTCTTATCAGTTAACAGAGTTAAATGGCATAGTGAAACTACTATTATACCCCTATTATTATTTATATTTTTTTTTATTCACCTATATTTTAATCTATTCTGTTATGTTGTTATGTGATCGGAGCATAACCGCCACCACCACAACAGCGACAACCACATTCGAAGTAGAAGGTAAGATCTCCATCATCTCTTGCCCGAAACACCATCATTTATGTAGTGACTAGGCTGCTACAAGTGTTCACACCACCGTGAACATTTGCAGTACCACCTGGATGCTCTTGTTAGTCTGAAGGGTGAACAAGTACTAATCAGGTTCTGAAGTGATTCATTTTTTACATTTGCTGTTCTATATCATGCATCCAATTCTCTTCTTTCTCTTGGTGTGAATATATATCTATTTTTTTTTTTCTCGACTTTTATTCTTTAGGCAGTCCCAGTGTAATCTTTTACGCTGGAGGAACATTATGAACAAAAGCTTATTTTTATATTTTCCATTCAGTATACTTGCTCAGATCTATAGATCCAATGACGAAAGAACACGCAGTGATGGCCTTGTTGAATCTCTCACTTGTTGGAATAAATTCAAATTTCTCTGGATTCATTTTGACCAATTTTCTTTGAGTTTAAATTCAAATTCAAATTCAAATTTCTCTAGGTTCATCTTGACCAATTTTCTCTGGGTTCAAATTCAAACTGAAATTTCTCTTACAACTTGTGTTTGTAATATTTACCAATCAACTAGTCTTTGACATTAACTATCACTAACGGATTGCATAAGTTTGTAATTGCGGGAGTTATGACTCTGATATCAAAGGTAACTTTAAATCATTTCAAGTATTGTATGCTCAATATCACAAATATGATCAACATAATCCACCTAGAAGAAAAATATTATTGTTATGAAATTATGAAATTCGATCCTTTCCTGGCAAATAGAAGATGAAATACCTTGATGTAGCAATAAGGAAGTGGCAGACCAACACGCCCAACAGAAGTGTCATCCCACTAAGTAAAAGCAACTCCATAACACGTTTCTGTGAGGCCATATCCTTGACCAATAGGAGCCCTGAGTAAATTAGAGAAAATTTCTCTAGGTTCATTTATAAACCAGAGAAAATTCAAATTTCTCTGGATTCATTTTAATTTTCTCTGGATCATAAAGACACATTATTTTATGAAATCCAGAGAAATTCCCGAATACATCTTCAAAAAATCAATCATCACATAAATTTATTCCAACAACTGTTAATAAGTTAAAACAAACCAAAAATCAAATCTGAACAAGATTGAAATTACCCACTATAATATTCACCATTGATCAAATGACCCACCAATTTATGAACTAAAAAGTTCTACAAAAATCCAGAGAAATTTTCTCTGGGGTTTTTGTGAATTTCTCTAGAGTTGAAGTGAATTTCTTTGGACTAAGAGAATTTCTCTGGGTTGAAGTGAGTCCAGAGAAATTCTGGTAAGATTTTATCTGTGAAGTCAATTTTTCTCTGGTGTGATTGAATTTTTCATTGAATTTCTCTGGTTGAGAAATTCTTTGGTTTCAAAATCTATAATTTGTTTGTGTATATTTTTTGGTTTCAATGCTTACCAATCATGATGTGCAATTGTTTGGTTTTGAGTAAATTTTAAGCTCATCATGAGATTACAGATGTTTGGGGTTTGAAGGATTCTGACTTGTTTGCAATATATGTTAAAAGAGTTTGAATCCAGTGAAATTTCAATTTTCCCTGTCCTGTTTGGAATTTTCTCTGTGATGTATCTAGAGAAATTCTCTGAATCGAATTTTCTCTGTGATGTGTCCAGAGAAATTCTCTGAATCGAATTTTCTCTGGATTGATGTTGAGGGACCTTAGACATTATAAAAATATTGAATGCCCTTTATGCTATAAAATCTTAATACCAAGGATCTTAAAAAAAAAATCCCCCTTTTTTTTTAAAATAGAAACTAATTTAATGAAAATAAATATCAAAAAATTAATTTTAAAAAATTATTTCCACTCTGCCAAAAGATAAAATTATATAAAAACGATGCGTTTTTAATTTTTTTTCACCAATTTAATCTTTAGTTTCTTAGAATTTTTTTTTTGAAAATAGGTTCTAAAAACCAAACCAAACCAAACAAAACTTTATAATCAAGAAAGTATCAGCATTATTCATTAAAAAAAAAAGTCATTACATTTCAAATAACACACAAGTCAATAACTACAAAATAAGTTGTGTAACGATTTTACTCTTGAAATGGAAAATTTTTCGTTTGTAAATGAAACAATATATTTGATTGTTCTTATTTAAAATAAGATTTCAAAATTTAGAATCAAAAGTATCACAATTAAAAGTTAAGGATCAAAGTGACATAAAACCCAAACTATAGGAACTGTTAGTGTAATTCGCCCTTTAAAATATATATTCACTTTTGTAATAAAATATTATTTTATTTATTTTTAGTTTAACTATTTGTATATATATATATATTATGGGAAATTTTAATATTCACACCCATCAAATCGGTGTATTGTATGCACCTCTAATTATGTCATTTTCTTCTTTAGTTATGACTCATAAGATCTTTAGTTATGTCTTATATTGTGTTTAGTTATGAATTTATTTATTTTTATTTTTTAAGTTATAACTCAAAAAGAATAAAATTATGTCCTTTTTTTTTTCTTTCTTTAGTTGTAAAGTGTATCTGGTGTACACCCTTTGACGGGTATGTACCAAGTGTTTTTCATATTTTATACTTAAGATATTAAGTCTAGTTGTTGATAGTATATGATTTCTCGAGTTCAATTCTTTTTCTAGTAAACTCTATATCTCTAACCGCACCAATATTTAGTACATTTTATTTATATAAAAAAAAATTACGATGCTATTGACAGTTTACATAAGGCTAAGCAAAGAAACCGAAAAATCTGCAAACTAAATCAATTCAGGCCAATCCAGTAGGCTTGGTTTATTTTTTTTAATTCATGATTCGATTCTGGTTTGGAAAATTGAGAAACTGATCTC